TTCAGAACACACACACAGAGCTATGGGGCCCTGGGGATGGCTGGAGTTGCCTCGGGGATCAGTTTGGCCTCCCAGTACTGCTGGGCCATTTGCACTGACCACACACGGCCCGAGTTACCTGGGTTGATGATGGGGAAGATCACGTCGCCGTTTCTCTGCTTAGTTTCCAGCCGATCCAGCTTTTGCTCCTCATAACGCTTCTTCCCCTCGTCCTCCTGCTCCTTTCTCGTGTACTGGAAGGGAAACCTGGTAAGAACAGGGCAGCAAAGCCACCAGCACAGCCAAGGGTGCCGACAGGGCTAGGTTAGCGCCATTCCCCAGAGAGACCAAGTTCCAGTTTTGGGGGACCAAAGTGAGCTGTCCTACCTGGATGGGGGGAACCTCAAGGACCTTATTCACGTTCTTCAGGGACAGAGGCACATACCACAACGTCGCCTTGTTTGTCAACTTCTTTGCCCCTGGAGGAGAAGGGGGCAGAGAGTGACAGTGCCATGGCCAGCAGTGCTGTGTCTGCCGCTGATCTCGGGGTGGCCACACACCAGCGATGCCACCAGCAGCAGTGGCCACTCGCCCTGCTGGCTTCTGGCGGGCTTTGGCTCACAGCAGATGTGACAATGCACTTTTGGAAAGGCATCCTGGCAAGTGGAGCTAGTTGCCACAGCAACAGCAGTAAAAGGGCCCTTTTCAGGCCAAATGGGCAGCGAATCAGGGAAGAGTAGCTACGAGCAGATATTGCCATTCTTCACTAAAAAAGATCAATGGAGCCGTAATCCCCAGGGAGACTGCTTGGCTTCCCTTCCCAGTGCCAGCTCTCCCCACACCCCCAGCACTCTCAATAAAAAGGTAAGATCTCCCCTCTGCCCAGTGCTGCCAGTGATGGAGTGAAGGACGGGAACTCTTGACTTATCACCATTATTCCTGGAGTTTTGGGACACAGCCACAGGCAGCCACCCACCTGTTAAAATGTTTTCAGACATGACGTTGACCTGGACCTCCACGGAGTGCCGGGAGGTGTAGGTGATCTCGGCACTGACATTGGCCACCTCGCCGATGCACATTGGTGAGAGAAAGTCTGTCCGCTCCACCCGTGCCAGTGCAGCCACACAGGGCTCCTGGGGACAGTGAGACAGCTGGGGTAGTGACCACGGCCACACCACGTGGGACCGCAGCCAGCAGCTCTCTGGGGCCAGCTGTGCTGGAAGTAGCTCCAGCACTTTAACCTCCACTTTATCAGCCACTGGCTGCACTTCCTTCCCCATCTGTAACCAATGCCCCGACCTGCCCTTCGAGGGAGATAAAACATTAATAGCAGGGCAAAAGTTTCTGCTCATAAACCACAATTTCAGTGGGATGCTTCCAGCTACTGGGGGAGGCGGAGGCTGGCAGCAGCGAGCCACCAGCGGTGTGTGTGCACGCAGGAGCAAGCACTCCCAGTGCAGGACCCCTGCTGCCAGGATGAATCCTGATATGCAGCAGGACGTCGAGAGTCCCTGCCTGAGCCCGGAGGGCACTCTGGCTCCTACTTACTCCGGCCTGGGAGTTGCAGTGACGGGTACTGATGATGGCTCCCGCCTCCTCAATCATCTTCAGGATGGTTCCCCCGTGGACATTCCCAGCGATGTTGGCATCGTCCGGGCGCATAATCCTGCCAGGGGAAGGACATGGGAGCTTGA